AGAGAGACCTCTGGGAGAAGTATACTTGCTTTGTAAAAAATGGGTGTCTGCTGAAGTGAGGGATGATGTGTCCTGGTGTCTACAGCCTGCATGGAAATGCATCAAAAAACAAGACGGATTGATGGGTGAGTAGAGGGCTGCCAGGTGACTGGGTTTGTGGTAGAGCAAGCCGAGTGAAAGGTTAATTGTAGAATCTGGGTGGTGGGTATGTGTGTTCACTGTGCAGCTCTTTCTACTTTTCTGAAAACTTGAAACTTTTCATATAAAATGTGGGGAAAAGGACAGCTGTGTTGTTTTCTAGGAACACATTTATTGGCTAGGCATATCTGTTATAAACTCAAATCATCAACATGAGCTTCCTAAACCTCACTGACTTTTTTCTTCCTAGTCTTTCTCCTCCTCTCTTTAGTCAATGATTTCAAATGTCAGTTCTTGTGTCACTCCCTCTAGGAACATTTCCCTGACCCTCCCGTCTGATCTAGACGTTTCTCTGTGTTCCCAGGGCACCTCTTGGATACTCCTGCCTTTGAATTTATCATGCCATATTGTAATCATTTACTAATTTGCCTGTCCCACTAGACTTTGAGTTTCTTGAGTGCAAAGACTATGTTTCTGGACTGCTTTCAGTATACATAAAAGCAACAGCAACAATAAATAGACTCAAAGTGGATTAAACACACTGGTTTATTCTCTCCAATCCCAGAAGTCTGGACGGTCAGCATCGGCAGTTTCCGGGACTGGTTCAGGGATGGGCACTTGGCTGACGCTCCTGCCTTTTTCATGTCTTGACCTTCAGACCTTCATGTCAAGCGCTGATGTAGTTATGTAGGTTGGAACTATCCACCATGGTTATTTTAATTTTTGAGCTCTGAGCCTGGATATTTTAGCAGATATCTGTGAATCTGTTGAATAGTCTTCAAGTTATTTGTTGTGGTTTCTTCTAGAGAAATTGTCTTTCTTTTTTGAAAAATAGCAGCTCAGAATTAGATGTTGTGTTTGAAAGCACCTCCCCCACCTGGAAAATTATTTCTCCATTTTCTTGCAGCTGTAATCATTCATAGAAGCAGGGTTGCTTCAGAGACATCGGGTGACAGAGTGATGGTCTGGAGTTTCCAACCTCACAGCCCCACCTCAGCCCTGTGGTGAACAGCTGTGGACCAGAAATTAGGCCAGAAGCAGTTTCACCTTCCTGAGCCTTTGGGGGAGACCCGCTTCTTATCCCACGTACTCTATTTTAGCTTAATTATTTAATTAATTGCTTAGAACACTCATTAAAAAGCACATAATTAGGAAAGGGGAGTGGAAAGATGGCTTGGTGTAGGCAAGTGAACTGAGGATCCATTGCAAGGAGAGCGGGCAGGTGTGTGAGTCCACTCAGGGCCGCCCGAGGCCGGTCACGTGACTTCATGGTGCGGGTGACCCTTAAGTCATCCAGGAAAGGCTTACTCCTCTGTTTAAGAAGACGGAAAGATATAGTCGTGAAAAATAACATGCAAAGCTTCATAAATACAATCTCAAAAAGGTTTTAAATATAGGAATATATGGATTAAAATATAAGAATATGTAAGTTACAGTGCGAGCAGGAAATAACATTGTTAATAGCAAATATCTCTGGGCGACAGGATTTTGTTTTTTTCTTTTTTAAAGATAGTTTTATGTCTTTTTAAAATTTTCTACTGAGCCTTGAAGGGGTTCAAAGTATGCCACCGTGAAATATGCCACATTGACATAAGAATTATTTTGAGGTGAGGGCAACTGAAAAGTAACAGACACAAAAGCTCTGCCCGCCCCTCTCTACCAGGAAGGGCAGAGCGAGTCTTAATCACCTGATCGCCCAGAGAAGCGCTGGAGGAACCCACGTAACACATCTTACTCACTAGCCCACATCTTCCATTAGTTTCCCCTTAATGTTTACCTTCCCACAGTTTGCCACTCCTCCACGTGCAAAGCCCCTTTCCTTTGTCTTGTCCCTTCTCTACAACATCCATTGTTTTTTGGCTAAGATGCTATATAAGCCCGCCCTCGAGTTAACGCCACTGATTGTGTGTGTGTGTGTGTTTGTGTGTGCAACACGCACATGTTAATAAGCTTCTGTTTGTGTTTCTCTCCTCAATCTGTCTTTTGTCAGTCTGATTTTCCAGCCCCAACCAATGAACTAAGATGGGTTTGTTTTTCCTCGCCTACATTTTTATTATTTTTCACTTTAAATAATTAAAAAAGTATTTTAGACATTCAGAGTGGTTCTTGTTCAGCTCTTGGTCTTTTGATATTGCAGTTTTTCCTCACATTTTGGTTTTGTCTTTCTTTAAAATGATCAAATAACCCCTTTTCTAATGACTGTCTGAAAAGTCCTGCCTGTTATGGATGCTGACTCTCCTGTAGAATTATTTTCTTGGGTGTTTCATAGGTTGGAACTGTGGGCTCCAGTTTGCGGGCTTTAGTTCCAGGAATCCTGAGCCATCTTCACTGCATGTTGGCCCCCAAAGGGGCTGTGTTCAGCACTCTGCCCTGTGCTCCAGCACTGTGACCAGCCCAGGGTTACGTTTTATGTTAATTTCTTGGCTTTGGATTTCAGGGTACACCTTCCTTACAGCCAGGGCTCAGGCAGACAGGCTTCCTTATTTTCTTCCCCTGCTGGTGGTATAGAGGAGCAGAATTTATCATCCCCAAATATATCTCTTTGCCACATGAGTAGTTTTAAGCTGGTTACTTTCTAAAACACAGCAGACATGGAAAAAAATCTGAAAACCAAGTAAGAGTTTTGTGAGAAGCATTGACATTTACTAGGTACAGCTTCATTTATAAGGGTGTCTCCCTTGCTGTACCAGGGCAACCGACCGAATTTCTAGAAGCTCTTACCAGTGGAGGAGGCAGTGACTTAAACCTGCATAACAGTGGTGGCCTTGTTTACTGGGATTTCCCTGGTCACCTCCCACAACTGGCTCTCCCCACACCAACATCCTCTTTGGCTGAGGACAGCCTTTAAGGTGAGGGCTTGGGCCATTTTGGCCAGTTACTCAGTTTCCCTGGGTCCTCTCCCATGGCTACATGTTTTTAAACTTTGTTTGGTTTTCTCCTGTTAATCTGTCTCATGTCAGTTGAATTCTTAGACCAGCCAGAGGAACCTAGAATAGTAAAAGAAATTTCTTCCTTCCCGACAGTGGACAGATGTTTTGCTAGTCTGTTCTTTACCTTTACTTGTGTTCCCTCAAGGTCTTAGCTTCTCAGTTCTCAACTGAGAAGAGGTCTTGGTTCTAATGCTCATCTAGCAAGGGCATTTGGCCTCCTAGCCCCGTGTGCTTGTTAAATCCTAAGTTCCCAAGAACAGCAGCCCTCCAGGACCACAGAAATATCAGCTCTTACTGCTCTGATTTTTTTCTCCGCAACATGGGGATTTCTTATTTTCTTTTCAGCTCAGCTGTGCACTTAATAGACGTTCTCAACCTTGGAGGTACACTGTAATCACCTGGGAGGCTTGTAGATGGGATCCCAGACATCCCAGGCATCCCCAGACCAAATTCCATCAGAATCTCTGAGGATGTTTTTAAAGCTCCCCAGCGATTCCATTGTGCTGCCAAGGATGGGAATGACTGATTTAAACTGATGTTGTTTTATGTTGCCCATTGGGGTGTGTGTGTTTAAATATATTTATTTTTCTTCTGGGGCTATTTTCAAGTTACTTTGTCAGAAGTAATGGAAATGGGTACCCATAATATTGTAATTAGAAAAAAAATTATCTTAAAATCAGATGGGAAGGAAACCAGCCTTTCTTAAGTTCCTACCATGTGCTAGGCACAGGGCTCAGGTCTTGCCCACATTATCACATTTGATACTCAGAAGAATCCTGCGTGGCAGGTGGTGGTTTACTTTTTTTTGCAGGTAGGAAAACTGAGTAACTAGCATCTAACTCACACGTCTCATGAATGGCAGAGCCAGCCTTGGGCCCCCTTCATCCTATGTCCTTTTTTCTTATGCTGTGAAGTATATAAAAAATTGTCCATACAAATGGTTTAAAATAAAAATTAGCACTCAGGTTAGAAGAAGTTTCAGGAACCTATTAAATTTACTAGTTAAACAAATTAAAAAAAATTTGGGAGGGGAAGTAATTAGGTCTATTTATTTATTTTTAGAGGAGGTGCTGGGGATTAAACCCAGGACCTTGTGCATGTTAAGCATGCTCTCTACCACTTGAGGTTTACCCTCCCCCTACTAAATTTACTTCTTTGGAATACTTGATCTTCCCACACTGCCAAGGTTGCTCTGTTCTCCTCCTTCAATCTCACTTCCGATGAGGTTAAACTGATTTTGACTAACAGATGGTTATTTTAGAAAAGTTCAACTCATTTTAGTTCATCAGTGTAAATAAACGTGGAGTAAATAATTTAGTTTTCCTCCTTTTGACTGTCACGTGTCGTAAAGGGGTGCTTACTGTTAGAAGCATGTTTACCTATCCCTTTTAACACGTCGATCTCCATGTCACCCAAATCTGGGGACAGTTGTGTTTCCTCAGGGGCACCCAATCTACGGAGAGGTGATCAGCATGTTAAGAGCTTGTCCTCGATCCCCGTGGTGGGCCACGTGGGGGTGTGTGTGTCAGAGGAACGCGGAGAGGAGAGGGATGAGACAGAGGTGGAGGTGGGGGTCCCTGAGCTGTGGCATCGGATGACAGGGTCATCTGACGTGGGTCCTGCCACTTCTGTGGAGCACTGTTGGGTGTGCTGAGTTTGAGGGCTGGGTTGGGCTCCCCTGCGTCTCCAGGGATGGGGCATTGGATGCACCCACTCATTTCTTCCCTGTCTTGCCTTTACTCAGGTCCTGGCTCTCCTGCAGTCAGCGACTTCCGGAGTGGTTGGAGGGCGTTTATCTCTGCCTGGAGCCTGGAAAGATGGCTCCGCTCTTGAAATGTCTGGGTTGGGCTTTTCTGGAGTGTGTGGTTTTCATTTGATTTCACTGGGGTAGAAACCAACCCACCTCTAAGTCTTTGTCTTCTTCATTGGCAGCTCTTCACCTGGGTCTTCTGTCCGGGCTTTGCAGCCTCAGAAAACCAGCAGGATGGCCGCAAACAAGAGTAAGGGCCAGAACTCGCTGGCCCTTCACAAGGTGATCATGGTCGGCAGCGGAGGGGTGGGCAAGTCGGCCCTGACGCTCCAGTTCATGTATGACGAGGTAAGACGCCAGGCACGGCCTGCTGCCCGTCGTCTGCGTGGCAGCGTCCCCTCTCCGGCTGTTCACCTGCCGCCCCGCCCACCCCCGTGATGGAGGATCAAGGGGCCCACTGGTGTTAAGGGGGTTTCTGAATAGCTTTCCAGGGGGTTCTAACCAGCGTAAGATCTGGGTTGCTGATTTTAGTTAAGTAATTTCAATGCTGGCAGGGATGTGAGGGGTCCCTGCTCACATCATTTCCACCGTTGTACCTTTCTTTATGACAGGAGCAGCGGGAGAGCAGGGGGCTCTACGGGTATATGTAATGAACAGGTCAGAGGCTTAGTTTTGTGACAGTCAGTCTGCAGAGATACTGAAAGGGGGAGCTGAGTTGTCGTAAGAATTGAATCTTTTCTGAGTGATGGACATCAGGTTCTCTCTAGGTCTTTCGTGGATCAGGGTATGCGCCCCGCCATCCTTGCCCCAGATTTACATCACTTACTGTGGATAATGTAACTGCTGCTGAGTCCAGTGTGACAACAGTCTTAATCCCTGTGGCAACAAGTGTCCCCACTTGATGGCCATTTGCGGACACTGCACTTGAGTGTTCAGACCAGAACTTGAACCTCAGGGCCTCTCACTGGCAGGATATCCACACGGGCATGTACTTTATACAATTTGCAAAAGAAAAAAATACCATGACCATGATCCGTTAAGATCATTATCTCTTTTCTCTGGACTCTCTCCCCTCTGTCCAACTTGCTCATATGCGGGCTGGGTTTGGAGTGGCCACATTTGGGATCTAACTGAGGGAAGCTGATAATTAAAGATACACTTAGCTGGGGTCTAAAGGTGAATGTTTGTGTGGTCTGGAGTCGCTTGGCATGTGGTTGGGTTATGACTAGCTGCCCCAGTGCAGGAAGGGCTTCCAGGAATATTCCCACCGCCCACTGTGCTGGCTCACCTGGCGTAGTGGTGTGAGGTGCGGGGCCGGGGTGTGTCCTGGTACGAGTGTGTCCTCTGGCATCTGGCACTGAAAGTGTGTGGGCAGTGGAGGAACAAGGGACAAAATTTAAGGAGTCAGAAACTAGTCTGGAATGTTCTTCCAGATCTTACAGCTTCTTACAGGGAAGCGGGATAGAGGTTTCCTAAAGTCGCGAACAGTCCTCAAACTTTCATGACTAGTAACGTCACGTAGTTGTGAAGCTGAAAAAAACCTTTCTAAACCATCAATAAAGGAAATTTGGACCAACTGTGCTAGAAGAAAGACTAAATTATTTTTTAATTCTCTGCAGGAAGTATTTCAGGATCATTGACATATGACAAGATAATTCAAATATCAGCCAAGTAGGAAGGTATTCTAGAGGTATGTCAGGCAGTTAATTAATAAAAGTATATTCTTTTGCTGGGTTTTGTGATGTAAATGGTATCTGTATTATTGCTGTGTAACAAATTACCACACACTTGGCAGCTTAAAACAACACACATCTGTTGTCTCCAGTTTCCGGGGATCAGGAGGCTGGCTCGGCTGAGCTAGTCTACTTAGAGTCTCACAGGATGCAGGGAGGGTGTCGGCCGAGGCTGTGTGCTCACCTGAGGGTCCCGTCCTCCTCCAGGCTCCCTGGTTGCCGGCAGATGTGGGACGGAGGCCCTCAGCTCCTGGAGGTCGCCCACAGTTCTCTGCCACGTGGCCCTTTCCATAGATAGTTCTTACCACAGCAGCTGGCTTCCTCCCTGCCTCTCTTGATCGCTAAGACAGATCTTATACACAGAACTGTGGGTGGAGGGTATGGCTCAGTGGTAGAGCACATGCTTAGCATGCACAAGGTCTTGGGTTCAACCCCCCAGGACCTCCATTAAAAACAACAACACCGCAGAATCTTATACACAGAAATGTAGTCAGGGGGTAATCTCATCACCTTTGCCATTTTCTGTTGGTTAGAACCAGTCACGGGTTCCTCTGCAGTCAAGGGAAGACTGTCACACAAGGGCATGACGCACCAAGGGTCACCTGAGGGTGGGCTCGCCACAGTATTTGTGCATTTTAAAAAATGTATAATGAATTGTAATTTCTTTTCTCATTCTAGATAATCACTTTTATATTTAATATTATGTGTATAATTTTGTATTCTTTTCTTAAAAGAGTGAATAAGCTTCAGACCGAAACTGCCATCTCCTCCTGGGCCATTCCCCACTGTGTCTTATCACGGGGAGCTTTTATTTCTGATGCTTGCTAGCTTTCCTTTTACTTTTACTAGGGGCCAAAGTGGGGAAAGCTAGCAGAATCTGTTTCATTTACCCAAAACATTTTTGCATAAACCTCTTCTGAGAGACGAATTTCAAAATCTGCTTTGAAAGTCTTTGTTTTTGCTTAACAATGTGAATTTCTTGCTAAGAGTGTTTTCCTTTTATAACAGAGGCTAGGGAAGAAGAGGTGGTGAGGAGAGGAATTAAGAGGAGGGAGACAGGATTAGAGAAGTAGTTGCTGATGGAGATGAGGAAAGGAGCACTTGGCTGGAAATATTTGGGGTTGTCACGACTGGGCGGGGGTGCTTCTGGGACCCAGTGGGTAGAGGCTGGGATGCTGGCGCACATGCTACAGTGCACAGGAGAGACCCCACAAAAGAAGGAATTGTCCAGCGGGAATGTCAGTAGTGCTGCTGTTGAGAAGCCCTGGATCAGAGGCGGAGCTGTGGTAGATCAGAGGAGGGAGATTCCTCTACCGTGTAGGTGACTGAGAGGCCCGAGGATGCCAAATCTAAGCACAGAAGACTCAAGAGTTTTTTTTTCTCTTCTTCCTCGTTCCTTCAGAGAAACAGGAAAGCTATGCGTGACCTTAGTCTGCTGTTCTCACTTGCTAACGTATTTGAGAACCAGAAAGCAGCAGTTATTGAGGAAATGGTCAAATAAAATCACAGCAAGAAAAGAAGAGAGATGAAGTGATGTGTATTTAGGGGAGTGTTTAATTGATTTTCTAAAGCAATGCTGTGTGATAGAACCTTCTGGGATGAAGGAAATGCTCTGTATCTATGCTGTCCAGTTCATGTAGCTACTGAGCCCTTGGCACGTGGCCGGTGGCTACTATATTAAACAGTATAATCCTAGAACCACACTTCTAGAGCTTGAAGAGACCTTAGCAGTGATCCCACACCTAGCTGATCATACAGTCTCCTGGGCAACCTTTTTTCCATAGAATCTCCTGGGAGACCCTTTTTTTTTTTATATTGAAGTATAGTCAGATACAATTTTTCAGTTTCTGGTGTACAGCATAATGTCCCAGCCATGCTTATACATACATGTATTTGTTTTTATATTCCTTTTCATTAAATGTTATTACAAGATATTGAATATAGTTCCCTGTGCTCTACAGAAGAAATTTATTTTTTATCGTTTTATATATAGTGGTTAACATCTGCAAATCTCAAACTCCCAAATTTATCCCTTCCCACACCCTTTGCCTGGTAACCATAAGATTGTTTACTATGTCTGTGAGTTTGTTAATGTTTTGTAGATGAGTTCGTTGGTGTCTTCTTTTTTCTTTTTCTTTTTCTATTTTTCTTTCAGATTCCACATATGAGTGATATCATATAGTATTTTTCTTTCTCTTTCTGGCTTACTTCACTTAGAATGACAATCTCCAGATTCATCTGTGTTGCTGCAAATGGCATGATTTTATTCTTTTTGATGGCTGAATGTATTCCATTGTATAAATATACCACAATTTCTTTATCCGGTCATGTGTCAATGGACATTTAGGTTGCTTCCGTGTCTTGGCTATTGTATATACTGCTGCTATGAACATTGGGGTGCATGTATCTTTTTGAATTAGAGTTCCCTCAGGATATATGTGGGGAACCTTTTAACAAAATACCTTCTGAATCACATTTCTGGAGTTGAGAACTAGGAGTCTTTCTTTTTATGAAGCTCTCCCAGCAGTTTTGACATATGGCCAGGTATGGTTACTCCTGTCTGGGAGGTCAGCGAGGCAAGCCTGATTTCCTAGAAAAGGAAACTGAATATACACTTGGAGACACCAGTATCTAAAGTCTCATGAGCCATTCAAGCTCTTTATTCCTGGTCCCCTGCCTTACCCTTTGTTTAAAAAAAATTAGCTTACATGGTGGAATTTTCAGGAAAATTGGATTATGGAAGGAGCCATAGTCTCAGACATTTTTATTTCTAAGTTCTGACTTGGAAAAATTGGAAGGACCTGCTAGTGTGGCAAAGAGAGATTTGAATCTTTTTATCTTTGGCTGTCATTCACTTAGAATGACAATCTCCAGGTCCATCCATGTTGCTGCAAATGGCATTATTTTATTCTTTTTTATGGCTGAGTAGTATTCCACTGTGTGTATGTGTATATGTATGTGTGTGTGTATATGTATGTATGTACAACTTCTTTACCCAGTCATATATATATTTGAAGACTTTTTAGCTATTTGCCCTTTCTGGTAAAGGGAGGTTAGTGATGGGGAGATGTTGGCAGCCACCTCTTTAGATTTTCAGTGTCTAAGTCAGTTTAAACATGGCTCAGTAAGAAGGGGTCTCCTTGAGTTTTGTCTTAGATCCGTGGGTCTTGGGCATCTGAGACGGAATCACACACAGCCCTGCAAGGCCAGTAGTATGGATCCTGCTAATAGATACCAAGACTTTGGGGATTTCCTGTTTCAAGTGGAAAAATGTAAACATCAGGGTTGTAATATAATGTTCTAATAATAAGCACACTTTTCCCTCGCAGAGGTAGGCAGTCATATCAGGGCATTCTGACTCCAGGAGTCAGTGGAACTCTTGCTGCTTTTATCCTTGAAAGTTTAGAAATAAGCAGTTGAGGTGCTTTATGGTGGCATTTAGAGATTTGCACAGGCATTGGGGTATTTCGTTTTGTTTTGTTTTAGGTCATGCATTTGTCTCTTTGGAAAGGACTTATAAAAGAAGGCACTGTTGCATAGGCAAATTTTCATATTATCTCTATTGTGAGATATTTATATGAACGTAAGAGAACCTAATACTAAAACTCTTTTAGTATCTTCATTTTCAGATTTAAAATCATTTGAATCAGTAACTGTTAAATGACAATGCAAGGCTCTTTTTAAGAGTGTTCTTCAGAGGTTCCATAAGTTCATTTTGATATTTTCAGTTTAGTTTTTAAAAAATTTAAATTATAGCTTTATTAAGAATTCATACACCATGAAATTCACCCTTTTAAAGTGTAGAATTCAGTGATTTTTCATTTATTCACATAGATGTGCAGTCATCGCCATTATATAATTCGAGAACTTCTTATCACTCAGAAAAAACTCCCTACATGTCAGCAGTCATTCCTCATTATTGCCTCCCCTCCTATCCCTGGGCCCTGGCAAACACTTCCTGTTTTTATGGATTTGCTGTTTTGGACATTTCATGTGAGTGGAACCATACAACATGTGACCTTTATGCCTGGCGTCTTCCACTTAACATGACGTTTTGAAGGTTCATCCATATTATAGTGCCTATCCATACTTCATTCCTTACCAAAAAATTGAAATACAATTCGTATGCTGTAAAATTTACTCTTATAAGTGTACAGTTCAGCAGTTTTTAGTACATTCATAGACTTGTATAACCATCATCACTAATTCCAGAACATTCTCATCACCCAAAAGGAAACCTCATACCTATCAGCAGTCACTCTCCAGTCCCCCTCCCCTCAGCTCTGCAAACACTAATCTGCTTTCTGTTTCCATGGATTTGTCTGTTCTGGATGTTTCATATAAATAGACTCATAGGCTATGTGATCTTTTGTGTCTGACGTCTTTTACTTACCATAATTTGTCAAGGTTCATCCACACTGTAGCACGAATCAGTACTTCATTACTTTTTATGACTGAATAATATTCCATTATCTGGATAGCTCATGTTTTGTGTATCCCTTTATCAATTAATAGATATTTGGATTGTTTCTACTTTTCGCTATTATAAATAATGTTGTTATGAACATTCATGTGCAGGTTTTTGTGTAGACGTGTCAAATTCTCTTGGGTATATACCTAGGCATGAAATTTGTGGGGTCAGATGGTCACTGTGACTTTTTGGGAATTTGCAAAACTGTTTTCCACAGCGGCTGCCCTATTTTATAGCGTATGAGGGTTCTAATTTCTCCACATCCTCATGGTGCTCATTGTTGTTCATCTTTTTGATTATAGCATCCTAGTGGCTATGAAGTTGTATCTCATGGTTTTAACTTGCATTTTCCTAATGACTAATGACGTTGAGCATCTTTTCATGTGCTTAGTGGCCATTTGTTTATCTTCTTTGGAGAACTGTTCAGATCCTTTGTCTATTTTTTTTCATTTTCATTCTTTTTTTCTTTTTATTGAGTTATAGTCAGTTTACAATGTTGTGTCAGTTTCCAGTGTAGAGCACAATTTTTCAGTTATACATGAACATACATAAATTCATTGTCACATACTTTTTCACTGTGAGCTACTGCAAGATCTTGTATATATTTCCCTGTGTTCATTTTCATTCTTTTCTTTCTTTCTTCCTTTGCCTGTTTTTAAATTGGCACTTAATTTAGTTCAAAAATTGTCTTTTTATTGTTGAGTTTTAAGAGTTAAAGAGATTCAAGCCCCTTATTAGATACACGTTTTACAGATATTTTTTGCTGTTTCGTGGGTTGTTTCATTTTCTTGATGATGTCCCTTGAAGCATGGAATTGAATTTTAAAATTTCAATCAAATCCAAATTATCTATTTTTTTCTTTTGTCGCTTGTATTTTTGGTGTCATATCTAAGAATGCCTTGCTAATTCCAAGGTCATGAAGATTTCAACCTATGTTTTCTAAGAGTGTATAGTTTCAGCTCTTACATTTAAGTCTTTGATACATTTTGAGTTAATTTTTGTATGTGATGTGAAGTAGGGTCCAACTTCATTCTCTTGCATCTAGATATCCAGTTATACCAGCATGAATTCAGTTTTAATGGTAAATTGCTGTCATTAATTTACCTTTTTCTTGAATATCTTGACTCCTATTACTGTTAAAATAATGACTTACTTTATATATAACACAATATAAAGAAAATAGCTTTGAAACAGTAATATCATTATTACTAAATAATATAACCACTAAGGGAAGTTTAACATTTCTTTGAAATTTTTTTGTACTTAGTCTTTTTTAGTGGGGTGCACTCTATCAAAATATTCTGTTCTAAACTCTATCAAAATATTCTGTCCTAAAGTCTCTTGAATTAATGTGGGACTACGTTACCAATTTGATATCCATTTAGGTTCAGTTGCTTCGGTTTTTCTGTTTAATGCTTTTCAGTGTGTTTTGTTTCATCCTTCCAGGATGTGTTTTTGGAAAATACACACATATACATACATGGTTTTCTTATTCTTTACTGTCCCTACTTTCCAGCGTATTTTGTCAGACTTTGTGGGTTTTGCCAGTCTGGTAGGCGAAATACAGTATCTCAATGTAGTTACAAATTTTGTTTTCTTTGTTAGTGCGAATGAATGAATGAACGTATTTGCATATGTTTAACATCATCTGTATTGATTTTTCTGTGAATTGTTTATGTCTGTGGCCACTTTTTCCCATTGGATTACTGATTTTTTTTTTTCCTCGCTGTTTCTAGGAACTGTTTATATATATAGCTCTTTGGGATAGGGGTTCAAATACTTTTTGCTTGTTCGTCACTTGCCTTGGTTGATAGTGTGTTGTGCCATACAGAAGGTTTAAACTTTTTACGTAGTCTAATTTATCAGTTTCTTCTTACATGGCTTCTGGATTTTGAGTCATAGTTAAAAAGGCCTTCCTGCTTCAAGGTCACAAAGGGATCTCACCCATGTTTTCTTCTAGTACTTGAGGGTTTTCCTTTTTACATTTAATCTTTGACCCATTTGGAGTTTCTCGTGTTGTATAGTTATTTAAGCTTCTTGGTACCTCTTGCCAAATTACGTTTCAGATGAGTTTTATACTTCTGTTGATTATAAATAAGAGCTCTTGTTTCTTCCCTTTGCCAATGTTTATAATTTTACATTGACAGTAATATTCCAAGGGTTCTGCTCTCTGCCTGGTCTCCTCTTTTGTAAAATGGGAGTATCTTCTCTTGTTGTTTACAAACAAAATTGAAAAATGGTAGAATTGATGGGGGAGGGTATAGCTCTGTGGTAGAGTGCCTGCCTAGCATGCATCAGGTCCTGGGTTCAATCCCCAGCACCTCCATTAAAAAAATAAATAAACCTAATTACCTCCCACTGCAAAACAAAACAAGCATGAAATAAAAAACAAAATAAAACTTGAGTAGTCTTTAAAGAGAAGAGAAGTGGTAGCATCGAGAGCAACAACGAACAGAAGTGCTGGGGACCGGTTTCACGGCTCCTTACTCATAGTGCGATGGCCGTCATCTGCACTCATGAATAGCTCGCTTGATTATAGGCCAAGTACCCATGTGTTGAAGCTTATTTTTTTAGCAGCTTTTCCTTTAAACCTGTGCCGATTCCTAACGCTGTTGGTTTCCTCAGTTCGTAGAAGACTATGAACCGACCAAAGCTGACAGTTACAGAAAGAAAGTGGTCCTCGATGGGGAAGAAGTCCAGATCGATATCCTGGACACGGCTGGGCAGGAGGACTACGCAGCCATTCGGGACAACTACTTCCGCAGCGGGGAAGGCTTCCTCCTGGTGTTCTCCATCACAGAGCACGAGTCCTTCACAGCCACTGCCGAGTTCAGGTGTGTCTGGAACGAAGTAACCTCCCGCCTCCAGGAGGCCTTCGCCTTCCTTCCCCGTCTTAGACTCGGGACGGGTTTGGGGCTGAGCTTGCTATTAGGAAGAGGTCTGTCTAAAGAATGGCCTGGGGTTTTTTGAATTTCGGCACCTTATAGTTCACCATTTGTTATAATCTCTTTGGGCTTCCTTGTTTTATAATTTCCAAATATAAATTGTCTTAAAAATCCGTTGTCCCCAAAGAGGATGAAGCCATATACTCTAGGAGTTGGGGATTAACAGACCCATTACTATATATAAAATAGATAAACAACAAGGTCCTACGGTATGGCACAGGGAAGTATATTCAATATTTTGTGATAACCTATAATGGAAAAGAACGTGAAAAAAAATGTATGTATATGTGTAACGGAATCACTTTGCTGTACACCTGAAATTAACATTGTAAATCAACTACACTTCTATAAAAGTTTTTTGAAAAGTCAGTAACCATAAAAAAAAAAAGATCCTGTGATTTTTGTTTTCACATAAATCCTGAGAGACAGGGATTCATGAGTTAACTGTCTCTTTTTCGTAATTTCCCTAAAAAAATAACAGTTTGCTCTATTCTGAGGCTTATGAACCCTCAGATGGCAGGAGAGTGAGAGCGGTGAGCTGTTGACCAGTTGCTGCTCCTGTGAGGACATGAGCACAGTCGAGTGGGAGAACCCAGCTTTCAGATCACATGGACCTGGGTTTGAATCCCTGCCCTGCCGCAGTGTTGTGACCCAGGGCAAGTGTACTCAGTACTCTGTTCCTTTATCTGAAAATACTCTTGTTAGTTGATGAAATGAAATACAGTGATCCGACTAAATTCCCTATGGGCAGAGCCCTTCATTGCGCTGTGTCCCCAGGCCCCCCTCCCAGTGGGCTCGTGGTGGGGAGAGTCACTGCTGTAATTCATTTGAAATCGTGGTATTTAAAGGTACCTTAAGTTCATCTCTTACAGGAATTCTAATGGGAAGGGCGTCTTTGTCCCTATCCCGTACCCTTCCCATTTCTCTTACACAGCTGTACTTTTTCATCTGCCCTCTTTATAAACATATCTGTCCGATCTAAAAATGGGCAGAAGACCTAAACAACCAATTCTCCATTGAAGACATACAAATGGCCAATAGGCACATGAAAAAAAAGCTCAATATCACTAACTATCAGAGAAATGCAAATCAAAACTACAATGAGGTATCACCTCCCACCAGTCAGAATGGCCATCGTGAAAAAGTCCACAAACGATAAATACTGGAGAGGGTGTGGAGAAAGGGGAGCCCTCCTGCACTGTTGGTGGGAATGCAGTTTGGTGCAGCCGTTATGGAAAACAGTATGGAGATTCCTCAAAAAACTAAAAATAGACTTATCCAGATGACTTTTTAAGAATCAGATCTGGAGTCTAACAGGGAACTAAAAAGGAAAAAAAAAAACAGTGGTTTTTCTTTTCATTCTTTAGTAAGTTCTGGTCGGAAATTAAGGTGATCAACCAAACATGAAAGCTAAATCCCCCAGGACTTGGAAGGAAGCATCCATGAACCAGGGAGGCCTCAGAGGGTAGACTCGGGGAACCCGGTCCAGCAAGGGAAGGGAGTAAGGAGGGTGTCAGTTGTTAGACTTCACAGTCCCAGGCCTTCAGAGATTGGCTTTCTCAGTTCTCGGCAACTATAGCTGTGTGCTGTGATGATCCATTAAATGCCTAGGACTCCCTATGAGAAGTCCTATTAATTTGTGGACTTTTCTGACATACCTAGAGGTTTCTGTATGTGGCTACGGTCCATGTGTTCATAATTGTATTTGCATCCACAGAATGCTGTTTTTATGCCTCTTGAGGACCAGACAGGACAGCTGCACGCACTACCTTGTCTTGTTCCCTGTCCCGAGCCTTTTAATTTTCCACTGGCCCCGTGACTCACCAGTAAAGGAAATGGTGGTCCATAGAAGAGCCATCTCCAGAGAAGAATAACGCCACCCTTGTCCTGTCCCCTGGGTCGCCACAGACACACAGATGCGTTCTTGCCTCCTCATGGAGGTGGGATGGAGTCTCACCCTATCCTGGAGGAAGGTTTTGGTTGTTCTGAAAGAAGAGGGATCCCTAGAAGAAAAAGGACAGATGACCACCTGAAAGAAAGAGAAAGAGGAAGGGGGAGTTAGTTCTGGTGACTTAAACTCTGGACAAAATCCCACAGCTGTCCAGGCGGCACATCATTGGAAACAGAAAGATGGGTGTAGGTTATCTGAGCCTGTATGGTTAAACTCACTCATTTTACTTCATGCCTGTGAGCAGTTTTAAAACACAGCATTTCTGCATTTATCTTCCAAATGGAAAGGCCCCAGCATAAAACAAAATGTTAATATATGCCCTATCTTCCTTGAAACTTTTCCTGGACACAGTCCATAAACCAGAGAAATAGGTTTGTTACACGAGACCAGAGCTTGGATTTTTGGATCAATGTTTATTGATGAGGAAATTAGTCATGGCTCTGCAAGACTAATGAGCCAGAAAGCTCTCAGTTTTCATTGTTCATTGTTTATACTGATCACATAACTTCTAAATGTGTAGGATGCCCTTTGACCCCTGTTGGCAAAGCCACTTAGAGACGGTTTTCAAACATCCACTTGTTTTTCTTCTTTTTCATTTTTCTTGAAATATTTGGTATCTCGTACTTAAATTGACTGTATGGAAGAATTGTTAAACATTTTTATTATAAAATATCACTCTATATTATATAAAAATCAATGCAAATCTCCACAAAAGGTGTTTCTGAAGGGCTCTCTTTTTGGAATGTATTGGAGTGTAGAAGTAGAAATGTTCCTACTGGACCAAAATAATGGAAGTGGAATATTTAATTTTTTAAATGTTTGGTTTTTAGAAAGTAATATTAGATAGCTGATTATTTTCAGCAGAGGTAAAATTTAATGTGCTACAGGTAATGGTTTTTTTTTTTTTAGAGAAGATGTTTTTGAAGGACTTCTCCGTAGGCCTCAGAGTATTTCCTTTCATTTTTTTCCCCCACTTTGTAGTAGAAAAATGATGCAGATTGAAATAGGATTACTGACTTACACAGCGGGGTGGGGGGCGGCAGGCGCACACACACGTGCAGGTGTAACTGAAACAGAGCTTTCACAAAACCATACTTCCCTTTACTGCTTGAGGTTCCCGCTAATGTTCCTTTGCTATTCTATCAGAGTCTGTTTCACTGAGGAAAAGAATTACCATTTGTGGCCCACAAATTGATTTCATGATCTGCTAATAGACTGTTCCCTTCCACATGAAAAACACTTGATTTTGTAGCTTTTCTTCTCACAGAGAAATCTTACCTTTTTTTTTTCAGGGGAATTATTAAGCATTTTATATATGAAGATACTTTCTTTAAGGTTATTTTATCCCAAGTTTCCCCCCCATCGCCTTTTTTTTTCTTTGTCTTTTTCTTTTTTTTTTAGCCTAAGCATAAACTGAGGACCCTGATGAAATGCAGACTCCTGGGCTCCTACCCACACACCTGCTCTGGGGCCCAGAACTCTGTGTTTGTAGTGAGCATCCAGTGATGCAGGCAGATTGAGAACCAGACTTGGAAAAGCTGGCCTAGTTTAGGACAGGACTGAGGGGCTGCTCCCTAGGACTGTGCGCTGCGTGTAGCAATTCCCCGGCCTTAGCAAAACCTCTCGTTTCCGATGGTCGGTGGAACTGGGTTCCTATTCCAGCTTTCTTAGCTGATTTATCTTTGACCTGTTACATTAGGGAACAGATCCTCCGTGTGAAGGCCGAAGAAGATAAAATTCCACTGCTGGTTGTGGGAAACAAGTCCGACCTGGAGGAGCGGAGGCAGGTGCCGGTGGAGGAGGCCAGGAGTAAGGCCGAGGAGTGGGGCGTGCAGTACGTGGAGACGTCGGCCAAGACGCGGGCCAACGTGGACAAGGTGGGCACCGGCTCCCACGCCTTTCTCGTCTACATGTCTCCTCGGCTGGTTTTGAGGGAGCCGTTTTGTGGAAAGTAGGGGAGGACTGATTTTCCCAGATGTCCTGGCCACTGTGATGGGAGGGTCTGACCCTGGATTTCACGACTCAGAGTCCTCTCAGTCCTGAGCCGTCATGAGATGCTTCCTGTTGGCATCACCATGGAAGCGTGGCTGGGTGAGGCGCTCGGTTTGTAGGGGCTGCCCTGGAAGGGCTGCCCCCTTGTCCTCTGTGGCCTGGTGTCCCTCAGGAGCAGGACTGGCTGTGTCTAGCAGCCTCTTAAGAGGTTGCTCAGAGAAATACACGTTTACTCATCTTGCTTTCACTGACTTACTGGTTAGATTTGTTCTTTTCACCTGACTGTCCACTGGTGGAGCCAAGGGGTTCTGTCTTTATACCTCAGTCTCTAAATAGTATTTTCTCCCAGGAGTCAACCCTCCAGGGATCTCTTACCCATCCCCAGCATACTTTCCCATTCCGATCTCTGAAGCTAACGAAAGGATGACCTTGACAGTGACGAACATGGACAGCTGGAAAACCCACCTTCCTGTGATTGCTATCATTAGGCCTTTTATTTTTAAGTTAAGACTCAACGTGGTGGCCGCAGAGCTAAGACGACCTTAGAGCTGAGGCTTTCCCTTCTGCCATCGCTCTGTTCTTTAGCTCTTCCTTCATGATCCAGGCTCCTGTAAAGTCTAAACACATCAGTTTGGCAGCCAACCAGCGGCTGTGTCTGCTCTGTATCATGCAGCATCAGCATCTGAATCCCCCAAATCCCTTCTCAGATTCCTCTTTCTTATGGAGAAATAGTTCCCCTTGCTCCTACCTGAAGCCAACGGCATTTGTGACCAAGCTTTGCTTTAGCTTGAAATGAGGCTGGAAGAACATTGGCATCTAGAATGTTGCTATTCAAAGGGGTTCGCTTAGAAGCATCCCCAACAACATAAATCTGCTTGGTGTGAAGTCTTCCCCTGGTCAGCTGCTTTTCCTTTGTGTTATGATCTCAGCTCTTATGTTGATTCGTGTGCTATTCCAGATCTTTTCATTTCTATCAGATTGTTTTCTAGCTGTAGAAAACACACAGGGAATCCAGACACATACTTCATTTTAAAGAAGTCAGGAAGATCTTCTCGGTCTGGAGCGGTCGACGTGGGGGGCGGGGAGCTGTTCCACGGCAGCTTGTCATCTCCCCTTCCTGTCCTGGACCAGCCCGACCTGCCAAACAGGAACCAGCAGAAACCCATGACTGGCAGCATTGTGTTCACTTGTAAACAATTTACACGAAAGGAGGTTGTCGATAAGATCAGCTGATGAAGAACTTTGTCATCATTTTAAGTTGGACACATGCCATTCCCCTCCTCCTGTTAGAACAGAAAGAAAAACCTGTGATATCTGAAGCTGTGCACTGTGGCTGTTACGAATGGGGTGCTTTCCTGAGAGGCTGAAGGAGAGGGGTGCAGCGGTCAGCCCGATCCAGTTTGGGGGGGGGGGGGTTCCTTTCCTGTGCCCGGAGCCGGTGGTCAGTGCTCCTGGAGCCCCGCACTCGGAGAGCTTGATCTGGCTTTTTTTTTCCCCTGAGAAGCTATGTCCATGAAAATAAAAGTTTGGTGCTTTGTGTGAATGTCCTAAGATATAAGGCTACACTCAATGTCACACTTTCAGTCTCTGTCTTCTCCTTGAGAAATCTCAGATGTTTTGTCTGCTGGGGTATAATCAGCACTGGAGCCTGGTTTCTAGTAGCAGAGGGCAAAACCCAAACTACTGGGATGAACGATAACCCTTATCTAAGTAACACACTGGCATTCAAAGGGCACATCTCATCAGCTCTGATAAAGTTCCCGCCTGCTGACGTCACGTGGAGCAGAGGAGCTCTTGAGAATCGGGGTGGGGAGGGTGGCAAGAGAGGACACCTCTCCCTCCCTGTCCCCATTTCAGAGTGCGGGGGCCTGAGTTTGTCCAAGCTGCATTGCGACCTTCTCCCCACCCCCCACCCCGAGTTCCCAAGTCTGCTGCTGTGGAGTTAGGCTGGGGACGGCCATGCGTGGTGATGTTCCTACCTTTAGGGTCATTGTAAGGACTGATCAGTGCAGTGATCCATCACACAGGCCCTAGTGGCAGATGCTCATGCCTTTCTTTCCTTTGTTGGTGGCTGGAAATGCCAGGAAGGGATTGCAGTTGTCACTATCACTACTTGTAAATTTCCCGAACTGCTGTCCATCTGTCCTGTGATGTTTTATCCTTCATCATACTTATCCTCAGAATAGGTTTTTATCATTTTGGGGGCAGGGGTAGGTTGGAGGTAATTAGGTATTGATTTAACTATTTTTAATGGAGGTGCTGGGGATTGAACCCAGGGCCTCGTGCATGCCAAGCACGTGCTCTCCCCCCGAGCTCCACCCTCCCCCTGCTCATTGTGAAATGAGCCACTGGACAGTGGTAACAGTAGTACGATGCTTCTGCCCTTAGCTTGACCCTTTATATTATGTGAGCAGAGAGTTCACTTCGTAGAATTACAGTGTTTTTTAATGTTAGTTGTTCTTATTGGCTCTAGACCTTTTGTTTTTCATGGACCACGGTTTATAGGAATACATTTGGCTTTATGCTTTAAAATGGAACTACACATCCTGCTTTGTCGAGTTGCTTCATTAAAGCATTAAATGGCTTATTCTTTCTCCTCCCCACCCCAGGTGTTCTTTGACCTAATGAGAGAAATCAGAGCAAAGAAGATGTCAGAAAACAAAGACAAGAATGGCAAGAAAAGCAGCAAGAACAAGAAAAGTTTGAAAGAACGATGTTGCTTACTGTGAATGCCATGACGGTGGACGAGCGGGTGGCCACCCAGGACAGAGGGCAGGCTCCTTAAGAGGAGACTCCAGTCGACCAGCATTGCCTGCTCTCTCCAGCCTCATTCACACATGCTTCGGTAAATGGGGAAAAATATTAGTGAATCGGTGGCTGGCAGAAGGACTAAGCCCTTGACCGTGCAATGGAATGGCTGCTTCGTCAGGAGGTTTCAGAGTTTCCTCCTTCCTTCGTGCTTCCCTCCCTTCCTTCCCGAGGTTAACCACATACGTGGTGCTATAGGTAGGAAATAGCCAGGCATTAGTTAAAAAGAAAAAAGATTGTCGTCGCATCTTATGTTTTTGCCTAGTTTTGTAACATTAGTATCTTTTGTTTTGAAATAAAAATGTCTTATTTTGTTAGGTCTTGGGAGACAGGGGGTGGGGCGAGACTCGTCCCACCCTTGTCGGCTCAACAGTAGTACCCGGGAAAATCCATCAGGTTCTAGATGCTGGAGAAGTCAGGGATTTGGGAGATGAGTCTCCTGGCAATACCCTGTGGATCTGAAACAGAGCTAAAAAAAAAATCTGAATTGGGCCGAACAGGTCAAAACCAAGCTCATTAATCCTCCTCAGTATGAAAAATGCAAGTTGTATTCTTCATATTTAAATGTTGGCCGATTATAGTCTGTGTTGGCTATTTTTCTCCAGTACATTCTGATTTTTGTGTAGGAGCTTCTTTTTAATAGACTTAAGTGAAAAATCAAGAGCAGTATACTTTTTAAATGATACACTTTTCTAATTAGAATTTTTTTTTTTACCTCTTTGGCTAAATCCTCTCTTAATCGCCAGTCTTAGAGTCACAGAAGGCCCCTCCTTCTCCACTAGTTATCAACCCAGCCTGTCCTGGTCAACTTCTCTCTGCAGAGGTTGAGAGAACTTTTTCTTTGGTTTCTCGAAGTGTAATCTAAGTTCTTCTGAAGAATGTGATGACTTAAAATTGTATTGTAAAATCATGAAGCCAGAG